TAGAGGTGGTTCTAGATAGAAAACTGTCACCTTAGGGCCACGTTAAGAACATTGTTCAAGGAGCTTATGCTACACTTTCTAACTTCAGAATTGCTTTTAAATACATGGATGGAGAAATACTAAAAAATTGTTCACGACTTTTGTTAGACCAAAGCTGGAATATGCAGCGATTGAATGGTGCCCATATCTTAAGAAGCACATCAACAAACTGGAAAAGGTGCAAAAAGGTGTCCTTCAGTTCTGGGAGCCACTAAGTGGCTCCCAGAACTGAAGGACAAGAGCTACGAGGAGAGGTTTGAGGCATTAAATATGCAAAAACTATTAGATAAAAGAAAAAGAGGTGATATGATCACAACATACAAAATAATAACAGGAAATCGATTAAACTGATAGGGAAGAATTCCCGAGACCCGGAACTTCAGGAACAAAAGGTCACAGGTTTAACCCCTTACCTGCGAGGCCTCCAAATATGACAACCACCCAGTGTGCAGGAAATAAAATCTCTGTAAAAAATTATTTTCTGTTTTTAAAGTGTCAAAAATCCCTTCCCTGAGTACGGGTTATAGTAATAGAAGGTCGAAATTGTAAGTAATTTAGCTGCTATGGGGTTCGTGAGTTCGTGTGTGACGTCGTCATTCCCTGGTTGCCCGTGCCATACGCTCCTGGAGCCGGTAGGGTGCTCGGGGCAGGATGCGCGAGTTGCCGTGAATATATTTTTGTTCATTTTCTGCGCACAGTTCCAAATACATTTCATATACTTTTACATGCCAATCCTATGTATGACGAACACGTACACTATATTATGGCAGTAGAACATCCGCACTGTCCGAAGACACTGTATTACGTACATGACAAGTGTACACATATCCAGCACATATTTCCATTATACAATGAGGCCTCGACTTACGATGCTAATCCGTTCCCAGAGACGGATCGTAAGTCGAAGCGATTTTTCCCATAAGAAATAAAGAGAATTAAATTAATCCATTCCCCACCCTCCAAAATATTAACATACAAATACATTTTATACTGAATACAATGTTTTTTTCTAACTACAATACAGTACCAAAGTGTCTCTTACCTTTATGGAGGGCTCTTGATGGTGTATGGAAGATGGTGATATGGGGAAGAGAGTTGTTCCTGTTTGGAAGGGGAGTCCCTTTCCATTATCACATCAGGCAGTGATGTTTTCTCTGGGGTACTCTCTCTCCTACGTTTTGCCTGAATACCACTAGGACCTGGTTGTGGTTCAGTGCTTGTTTGTCTCACTACAAATTTGTCAAGAGGCATTTGTTTTTCCCTTCATTTTAACATTTGTCTGTAATGATGCATCACAATGTCATTGAATAGGTTAAGGTAACGACCTACTGCAGCTTGATTTGGGCGAGTCGTTTCAGCAAAGGTTTGCAATTCTTCCCATGCTGCACACATTTTCTTAATTGTTGAGGAAGAGACATTCTGTACTCTTGTTTCTGCTCTATGGTCATCCTTACATGTGTTTTCATATGTTGAGCCTTACCACTGACTTTCCTGGGACTCATGGCGTGATATATAATAATTACTTTAATGTTCAAATTGCAAAAAATCACCACAAAAGCAGAATTTCTTATAGGCGCGATCGTCACTAAGCGGGCAGCTGTTGTAAACTGAGGCAGGTCGGCCGTGTGACTGGGAACCACGCGCTCAGTCGACCCGAACGTGTACCAACAAATATGACACGGATGTCGAGTCACATTTTTAGACGAAATTTACATCGTAACTCGAAATTATCATAAGTAGGGACAATCGTATGTCGAGGTGCCACTGTATTATGCTAATTATGTATATATACAGTCTATTTCCACATTATACCCTATCACACACTATATACATTAATAATGAACACACTCAGAACTCTGCGAGTGTCAACTGCCACACCCTCACTCCTCCAACATCCAGTCTCTCCCTCACTCCTGCAACATCTTACTTGACAACATTGCTCCTCCCACCATACTGTTATTGTTTGTATTACACTATTTACACATGTTATGTATACCTATCTACATGTTTTATTCACCAGAACTATGCAAGTAAGCCGGTATTGTGTCCAAACTTTACAGTGGCCACCATACACTGCATGAGAAATCACACAGCAGCCAGCAGACGACGCTACGATTACGTCACCTCCCTCGCCAAAACAGCTCCTTCCAACATATTCCTGTTGCTGTTACTATACTATATACACACATTGTATATACCCATGTACAAATGTGTTCACCATAGCGAACCACTAAGGTAGTATGATGAGCAAAACAAGAGTGGCTGCCACATAGTGAAGCTACCTCAATTCTCTCCCTCACCACAATAATTCCTCCCACAATACTATGCACAGTGCTTATTATCACCACAATCCTGCTGTTATCACAACATGGGTCACTAAATCCTGTAAATACATAATTGACCGCAAGTTTATTTTGTAAAGGAACCTAAGAAGTCGTTTGAAGATTCCTAGATGGATGAAATAATGCTGTGGTGCTGTGGCTAGCACTGTGAACATCGTGAACAGCATTGAATCACTAATATTTGAACATTGTACAGTCATTATCACACTCAGGCTCTTCTGTAATACTATCATGGCTAAATAATACAAGTTATATATATATTTTGACATTATTAGGCGATGCTGTGGTCACAAGCTGAACAGCAGTGCTGTGAGCTCATGCAGCGTATGCCAGCCTTGGTTGGTTGCTCACTCACTACTGAGGCTCTCACACCCAGGAATGTGGACCACAATTTTTTTTAAAGATGGTGTCTGTTTACAAGAGCCCTGAGGAAGCTGATGTGAACCTCATGTAGCCACGGGAGTTTTGAATGGAATGTGAAAAATACAAATACCTGGAGGCGCGAAGCACACCCCAGAAGTGGGCCTGCAGGTGCGTTGCGCAGTTAAAGGATTAAACTAACGAGACAAACCTGGGGGAGATATATAAGAAAATTCAATTTTGTAAACAGAGTGGTAGACGGTTGGAACAAGTTAGGTGAGAAGGTGGTGGAGGTCAAAACCGTCAATAATTTCAAAGCATTATATGACAAAGAGTGCTGGGGAGACGGGACACCATGAGCATAGCTCTCATCCTGTAACTACAATGGGGTAATTACAGATTCAGCAGATGACCCTACTGCCCTCCCTCTCTCCCTCAACATTACTTCTCCCACAATACTACACATAATGCAAATTATCAACAATCCTGCTATTATCAGAATCATGGTCATTTTTATCATAGTCAGGGGTCCTCTGTAATACTATCATCGATAAATAATACCAGTTACATATGTATTTTTTCATTTTTTAGGCGATGCTGTGGTCACAAGCTGAACAACTGTGCTGTGAGCTCTTGCTGCGTGCGCCAGTCTTGGTGGCTCACTCGGTACCGAGGCTCTCACACCCGGGAATGTTGCCCACAATTTTGTTTTAAAATGGAGTCTGTTTACAAGAGCCCTGAGGAAACTGATGTGAACCCTGTGTAGCCGCGGGACGGGGAAATCTTGCACAGTACTCGAAAATATTATATGATGTGTTACGCAGTTTAAGGGTTAATCTAACGTATAATTTTATGTAGGTAATTTGTAGCAAAATTGAAAAAAGTTAACAGGTACATTGTAAGAAAATTTGAAGAAAATTTGTAGGCAAATTTTAGTAAAATCTGAGAATTATCGACAGGTACATTGTAGCATAATTTGAGGATTATTTCTAGGTACATTGTAGCATAATTTGAGGATTATTTCTAAAAACATTGGAGCAAAATTTGTGTTCAACATAACAACCTTGATATAAGGTGACAGCAGTGATTACAACATTGAGATTATATGGTTTAGGCACATATTTTGGGGGTAGTACATAATACATTGCAAGAGTGAAGCACTAGGTAGAAAACTATGCAGATGAAATTATGTACTTTTTAGTGTTACTTTTGAATAAGGGGGTAGGTTGGACAGCTTTTAACACTATCGCCCATGCCACGTGAACACCGCAGACTTTGACGTCATGGAGCTAATGGTGCGGGCGAGTGTGCGGCGACACCTAAATGTGTATAATCATTTCAGTTTTCTCACCTTAATTCTCGTGCTACATCGTTCATTTTAGTACCATTGTGTTCGCAATTAAATTCCCTGCAGATGTACAGTATATGCATATAATATCCAAAAGCCTGGCGAGACTCCCCGCAGCAAAGCCTAACATTACCCGTGAACGAGCATCAATTTGCACACCACAACCTAATGTATATACTCGTTCAGTTTGATAACATAAATTTTCATGTTACATCGCTCGTTTTGGTATCAAATTGTTTGCAATATAAAGGCACGCATTTTAAAACTAGTCTCATAATAATAGAGCAATAACTGTAATTTTAACAAATATTTTAATTTTGGATGCTCATCATCAAAATTATTTATATCTTTCCAATGTTCTAACATCAATTTTCATGTAACATCGCTCATTTTGGTAACAAATTGTGCGCATTCTAAAGGCGCTTATTTTGAAATTATCCCGTGGTCGATTGGATAAAAAATGAATTTTATACAAATATTTTTGTGGTGGACACGAGTCCTGTCCACGGCTAAGACTCAAGAGAAAAAATGGACATGATCGGTGTCCAAAGAAAGAGATATTGTTAATTCGTTTGGGAGCGAGTTCCATAGACTAAGTCCCTTTACTTGCATAGAGTGTTTACACAGATTTAGTTTGACTCTGGGGATAGCTATAGATATAGAGTTGTTAGCTATACTCTACGGAACAGCTTTCAATCCTGTACCTTACAATAGATTGTTAACTCGAATGGATAGTGAAGTTGAAATCAACATATGACCATTGCGTTACACTGTGAATCAACATATGATTATGATCACACACTAAGGGTTAAATATTTTAGAAATGCATATTTAGATTGGTTTATCTGAATGCTTTTTTATCATGGCCATTACCTCATAGAGTAGTTCCAAGGAAAATAAGATGCCAAGGATACAGATATAAGTATAGATAAACTAGATATATAATAGATACAGATATTTTGGAAAAAAAAATTACATTGGAATCTTTCCTGCACAATTGAAATGTAATTTTAAATATAAATAGACTGTGCATCTCACCTTGGCTGACTTCCCTGCAGCTTCCACATCCCAATAAAAGAGATGGTTGTCAACTAATGTGACAAGATGTGAATCATGTTCTGGTGCCCACACAACTGACCACACCTGTGAACCCAAGCCAGGTACGGGTGAACCTGGAATTTGAGGATCACTTCCAGCTATCCTGTCTAAGCTGCATAATTTTTCAACTTGTTCACCACCAGTCCTGTGATAAATAGAATACTGATATGAAAATTGTTAGAGTGGTAAAATCGTAGCATAGTAGAATTTATATCCAGACGTGTTGTGGGAGTAGGTTGTATTGATATGGCTATCACATTTGCATTATTGCATATTTTTTAACACATATGACTTCTGTACTTTTCAAAACTGTACACTATTTTTCTGGGAAGGGACCTACCCCTTACTGGCTTCCCAGGACTACAGCATTGGCATTCCAGGGATAAGCCTAACCCATTATGCACCTGTGCAGCCTGTCCTCCTAATGTTTCCCACATAAAGAAACTGTTGTACTGTACTAAAATCCTCTATCCTCACTTACCAGAGGTCAGAAACAGGACAGTATGCGAATTTTGTGAGCCGCTACCATTTTCTAGTATGACAGTATATTCTGTCATACTAATAGGTATAAGTATACAGTGGTACCTCAGCAAACAAATTTAATCCAGTCTCAGAGACAGTTCGTAGGATGAAAATTCGTAAACCGAAGTAAATTTTCCCATAAGAAATACTGTAAACTGAATTAATCCATTCCACACTCCCCTAAAAATTTACTTCAAAGTAATTTTATACCAAATTCACCCAAATCTTTAGCACTAAATTATGTACAAGTTATTGCTCACCTTTACTGATGACTCTTGTTGGTGTATGGAAGGCAGTTTGGAGGGGTCAAGGAGAGGTGTTCAAGAAGTGATGACTTTTCCAGGGTACACACTCTGGCATGTTCTACCTAGGACCTGCTTGTGGCTCACTGCTTGATTTTCTCACTAAAAATCTATCCATAGAGGATTGTTTTCCCTTCGCTGTAACACTTGTCTGTAGTGAGGTATCAGTGTCATTAAAAAACCAGCGTTGAATGTAATGAAACGCCATTTTCTGGGTGAGACCTGGAAGCTCCCCAGAGCATATCCAGGCTGATATGCTAATGTCAGACTTTGGCATCAGTCATGTGTATGGAGTTCTGTGGGCCTACCAGGGACCACGAGCCAGAACTTGGCCCCCCCTAAGAGAGGCATGGGAAGCAATGGCCTATAGAAACGCCCGTGTGGTTGGAAGCATTCTATGTCTGCCATCGACCGGGTCAGGCACCCAGAAAGGTAAGCGTCCCAAAACAAACACCTATTCAGGTGAAAATTGCTACCAAAAGCTGAACAAGTGGATAGAACTCCCCAAAAATTAACAAGCAAATGACCAAGACGTCACACATCGCTGCGCAGCTGTCTGCGCAGCTCCCTCCTCCCCGGGAGGGGGTGAAGGGGGAGCCCCAGACCCTCATGCCGGCTATCCACCCTTCAGTTCTGAGGCTGGATGTCAAAAACACGAAAAAAACGCTGACCGGAGGGAGGGAGGGATGCCGGGGAATCTCCGGTGTCTCATCCAGAAAATGGCGTTTCATTACATTCAAAGCTGGTTTTCTAGGGGAAGCCCCATCGGGTCCCCAGAGCTACCTACCCAAAGATGAAAACAAGAGGGACCTAATCAGGGAGGCGGAAGACATACACCCCAACACGAAGCGGGGACAAAAACTGCAACTGCCAACCCAAGGCCACATAGGCCCAACAAGGCCCAGGGAACATCAACGAAGGAACGCAGAGCCAATCAACGAACGACGTGGGCACAGGAACAGACAGCAGGCTGGCAGGACCGAACCACCCCATGGACGACAAGAGTACCACACCCTCATCCTGGAAACATTCTTGTATCAACATGTTAAACAAGCTATGAGGATGAGGGAAGGGGACGTTCCCTCCATGCTAGATTTGATATTTACCAGGGAGGAGGAAGAGATATTTGACATTCAGTACCTTCCTCCCTTGGGTAAAAGTGACCATGTCTTTTTGGGAATAAGGTATGCAATGCATTATAATCTGGAACATAAGGAGGTTGAAGCAGTTGAAAAACCTGACTTCAGGAGAGGACATTATGGCGACCTTAGAAATTTTTTTAGTGAGTATAATTGGACAGACTTGTTGCTAAGCAAGGAAGTGAATGAGATGTATGTCAAGTTTTGTGAAATATATGATAAAGGCACAAAAAAATTTATACAGAGCACCACTTGGTTTCCGAACCCATTGGGGACGAGACCCGTCGGTTATCGTGTAAGTTCGTAAATGAGAAATGGAGGAAAATGGAGAGAATTTTGTTAAATCTAAGGGAAAAAATTGACAGGTTCATAGCATTAGAGAAGTCCTATTCCACTTCTCCCTCAGGAGTGGCAGGACCAAAGAGCCAGAGCTCAACCCTGCAAGGACAACTAGTACACCCTTACTGCTGCTGCCCTCCCATCCCCCGAAGGGCTAGCTTAGTAGATTGTCAGAGAATCTCCATCTAATACAATAAAGCATTCATGAAATAACTATTTTTATAACTTTTTATTATCCTAATAATATTACTTAACAAAACCAGTAACCAAAAATATATATGATGTACATTTAAGAAACAAATCTGGCTAACGGGTCGAGTGTAGTTAGGCTTACTCAAGTCAGCCGGTCCCTCCCGCATAACCAATACACCTCCCTCACCCCCACCCCCACCCCCATACACTCTCTCTCAAGGTCACGTGGCTCACCTCAGCACGCATCCATCCCTTCCTTCCTGCCTGCATGACTGCCAGCCTGCCTGTCTGACTGCCAGCCTGACTGCCAGCCTGCGAGCCTGACTGCCAGCCTGCCTGCCTGCCTTCCTGCCTGCCTTTCTGCCTGCCTGCCTGCCTTCCTGCCATCCTGCCATCCTGCCTTACTGCCTTCCTGCCTGCCTGCCTACCTGACTGCCAGCCTGCCTGCCTGCCTACCTGCCTACCTGCCTACCTGCCTACCTGCCTGCCTTCCTGCCTGCCTGCCTGCCTGCCTGCCTGCCTGCCAGCCTGCCTTACTGCCTTCCTCCCTACCTTCCTGCCAGCCTTCCTGCCAGCCTTTCTGCCAGCCTGCCTGCCTGCCAGCCTTTCTGCCAGCCTGCCAGCCTGCCTGCCTGCCTGCCTGCCTGCCTGCTTGCCTGCCTGCCTGCCTGCCTGCCTGCTTGCCTGCCTGCCTGCCTGCCTCCTTGCCTCCTTGCCTCCCTCCCAGCCTGCCAACCTCCCACCCTCTCTGCCAGCCTGCCTGCCTCCCTCTCTGCCATCCAGCCTGCCAGCCTACCTCCCTCTCTGCTAGCCTGCCTGCCAGCCTCCCTCCCCTCTCTGCCAGCCTGCCTGCCAGCCTCCCTCCCCTCTCTGCCAGCCTGCCTGCCAGCCTCCCTCCCTCTCTGCCAGCCTGCCTGCCAGCCTCCCTCCCTTCCTCTCTGCCAGCCTGCCAGCCAGCCTCCCTCCCCTCTCTGCCAGCCTGCCTGCCAGCCTCCCTCCCTCTCTGCCAGCCTGCCTGCCAGCCTCCCTCCCTCTCTGCCAGCCTGCCTGCCAGCCTCCCTCCCTCTCTGCCAGCCAGCCTCCCTCCCTCTCTGCCAACCTCCCTCCCTCTCTGCCAACCTCCCTCCCTCTCTGCCAACCTCCCTCCCTCTCTGCCAACCTCCCTCCCCCTCTGCCAACCTCCCTCCCTCTCTGCCAGCCTCCCTCCCTCTCTGCCAGCCTGCCTGCCAACCTCCCTCCCTCTCTGCCAGCCTCCCTCCCTCTCTGCCAGCCTGCCTGCCAACCTCCCTCCCTCTCTGCCAGCCTGCCTGTCAGCCTACCTCCCTCTCTGCCAGCCTCCCTCCCTCTCTGCCAGCCTGCCTGTCAGCCTCCCTCCCTCTCTGCCAGCCTGCCTGCCAGCCTACCTCCCTCTCTGCCAGCCTCCCTCCCTCTCTGCCAGTCTGCCTGTCAGCCTCCCTCCCTCTCTGCCAGCCTGCCTGCCAGCCTACCTCCCTCTCTGCCAGCCTGCCTGCCAACCTCCCTCCCTCTCTGCCAGCCTCCCTCCCTCTCTGCCAGCCTGCCTGCCAACCTCCCTCCCTCTCTGCCAGCCTGCCTGCCAGCCTCCCTCCCTCTCTGCCAGCCTGCCTGTCAGCCTCCCTCCCTCTCTGCCAGCCTGCCTGTCAGCCTCCCTCCCTCTCTGCCAGCCTGCCTGCCAAAAAATATACGATGATGTACATTTAAGAAACAAATCTGGGTCACAGGTCTGTCGAGTGTGGTTAGGTTTACAGAGTAGGCCAGTCCCTCCCCCACCACCTCCCTAACCCCTAACCCATACACACACACTCTTAAAGGTCACGTGGTTCACCTCAACACCCATCCATCCCTTCCTGCCTGCCTGCCTGCCTGCCTCCTTCCTAGCCTGCCTGCCTGCCTCCTTCCTGGCCTGCCTGCCTGCCTCCTTCCCAGCCTACCAGCCAGCCAGCCTGCCCTCCTGCCTGCCTGCTAGCCAGCCAGCCAGCCTGCCTGCCTGCCTTTCCCTCCCTCCCTAATTCTCCCATCCTCCCTTACTACTTCCCTTCCTTCCTGCCCACCTCCTAGCATCAATCCCTACCTCCCCCTCCCTCCTTATATCTCTCCCTACCTCCCCCTCCTTCCTAGCATCTCTACCTACCTCCCCTTACCTCCTAGCATCTCTCCCTACCTCCCCCCTCCTTCCTAGCATCTCTCCCTACCTCCCCTTACCTCCTAGCATCTCTCCCCTACAACCCCCTCCCTCCTAGCATCTCTCCCTACCTCCCCTTACCTCCCCTTACCTCCTAGCATCTCTCCCTACCTCCCCCTCCCTCCTAGCATCTCTCCCTACCTCCCCCTCCCTCCTAGCATCTCTCCCTACCTCCCCCTCCCTCCTAGCATCTCTCCCTACTTCCCCCTTCCTCCCTCCCTTTCTCACTAATTCTCCCCCTCTCTCACTGTTTCTCCCCCTCTCTCTCATACTGCCTCCCACCTAAGCTCCCCCATCCATCCACCCACCAGTCAGCCATCACTGACGCAATGCGTGCATTTGGAGCCGACATGGTGCACAGATGTTTCTTGATTGTGCAGATATGTAAAACAAAAGCACAGAATGAACATTCCAGCCTTATGACAATTCAAAATAATAGGAATAAAAGGCCGTGAATCAGTGAAGTCACATTGGGCAAACTGGACCATCTCCCACCCACCACCACAGGCCAGCGCGACTCTTGGCGGACCCCTTCCTACCCGAACAAGCATGACTCCCCAACCCCAATTGGGAAACTGGAAGTTTCGGATAACTAAAGTTCGGAAACCAAGTGGTACTCTGTACCAAAACAGAGATGCAGAACTAGGAAACAGGATTGGTTCAATAGAAATTGCGAGAGGGCCAGAGACCACAACACACAATAGGTAATCAATTCAGAAAGAGGCCAAACCCACAAACATACCGGCGATACAAAGATGTGAGAAAAATCTACACGGCAGTGAGGAGAGAGGCAGAAAGAAATTTTGAAAAAGGGATTACAGACATATGTAAAACAGAACCAGGTCTATTCTATAAATTCATAAACAACAAATTGCAGGTAAAGGATAATATTCAGAGGTTGAAAATAGGAAATAGATTCACAGAAAATGAAAAGAAAATGTGTGAAACACTAAATGAAAAGTTCCAAAGTGTGTTTGTACAAAATGAAATCTTTAGGGAACCAGACACAATAAGAATTCCAGAGAACACCATAGAGCACATAGAGGTGTCTAGAGACAAAGTGGAAAAAATGCTCAAGGAGCTAAGTAAGAACAAAGCAGTTGGTCCAGATGGAGTTTCACCATGGGTTCTGAGAGAATGTGCACCTGAGCTCAGCATTCCAGTTCAACTGATTTTTCAGGCATCCCTGTGTACAGGAGTTGTAGCTGATGTGTGGAAAAAGGCTAACATATTTCCAATCTACAAAAATGAGAGCAGGGAAGACCCCCTTAATTATAGACCTGTATCATTGACAAGTGTAATAGTAAAAATATTGGAAAAAATAATTGAAACTAAATGGGTAGAACACCTGGAGGAAAACGATATAATATCAGACAGACAGTATGGTTTTCAATCTGGAAGATCCTGTGTAACGAACTTACTCAGTTTTTATGATCGAGCCACAGAGATTTATAGGAAAGAGATGGTTGGGTTGACTGCATCTATCTGGACCTAAAAAAGGCTTTCGGCAGAGTTTTCCATAAGAGGTTGTTCTGGAAACTGGAAAATATTGGAGGGGTGACAGGTAAGCTACTAACATGGATGAAAAATTTCCTGATAGAAAAATGAGGGTAATCCGAGGCAAGGTATCGGATTGGAGGAATGTCACGAGTGGAGTACCACAGGGATCAGTTCTTGCACCGGTAATGTTCATTGTCTACATAAACGATCTACCAGTGGGAATACAGAATTACATGAACATGTTTGCTGATGATGCTAAGATAATAGGGAAGATAAGAAACCTAGATCATTGTCATGCCCTTCAAGAAGACCTAGACAAAGTAAGTATAAGGAGCAACACTTGGCAAATGGAATTTAATGTGAATAAATGCCATGTTATGGAATGTGGAATTGGAGAACATAGACTCCACACAACCTATAAATTATGTGAGAAATCTTTAAAGAATTCTGACAAAGAAAAGGATCTAGGGGTGGTTCTAGATAGAAAACTGTCACCTGAGGACCACATTAAGAACATTGTGCGAGGAGCCTATGCTACACTTTCTAACCTAAGAAATGCTTTTAAATACATGGATGGAGAAATACTAAAGAAACTGCTCACGACTTTTATTAGGGGAGCCGGTCGGCAGAGCAGACAGCATGCTGGACTTGTGATCCTGTGGTCCTGGGTTCGATCCCAGGCGCCGGCGAGAAACAATGGGCAGAGTTTCTTTCACCCTATGCCCCTGTTACCTAGCAGTAAAATAGGTACCTGGGTGTTAGTCAGCTGTCACGGGCTGCTTCCTGGGGGTGGAGGCCTGGTCGAGGACCGGGCCATGGGGCCAGTAAAAAGCCCGAAATCATCTCAAGATAACCTCAAGATGACCAAAGCTGGAATATGCAGCGGCTGTATGGTGCCCATATCTTAAGAAGCACATCAACAAACTGGAAAAAGTGCAAAGCCATGCTACTAAGTGGCTCCCAGAACTGAAGGCAAGAGCTACGAGCAGAGGTTAGAGGCATTAAATATGCCAAAACTAGAAGACAGAAGAAAAAGAGGTGATATGATCACTACGTACAAAATAGTAACAGGTATTGATAAAATCGATAGGGAAGATTTCCCGAGACCTGGAACTTTAAGAACAAGAGGTCATAGATATAAACTAGCTAAACACAGATGCCAAAGAAATATAAGAAAATTCACTTTCGCAAACAGAGTGGTAGACGGTTGGAACAAGCTAGGGGAGGTGGTGGTGGAGGCCAAGACCGTCAGTAGTTTCAAAGTGTTATATGACAAAGAGTGCTGGGAAGACGGGACACCACGAGCGTAGCTCTCATCCTGTAACTACACTTAGGTAATTACACACAATGGGGCCTCGACTTCCGATGCTAATCCGTTCCCAGAGATGGATCGGAAGTCGAAGCGAATTTTCCCATACGAAATAAAGGGATTTGAATTAATCCGTTCCACACCTTCCAAAATATTAACAAAAATACATTTTATACTGAATACAATGTTTTTTTCTAACTACAATACAGTACCAAAGTTACTCTTACCTTTATGGAGGACTCTTATGGGCAGCTTCCCATCCTTCTCCATCACTTACGAGATGGAGAAGGATGGGAAGCTGCCCTTTCTAGATGTAACAGTCATGGAAAGGAGCGGAGGTTTCCACACTGCAGTCTACACTAAGGAAACAAACATAGGAATGTGCCTCAATGCCAACAGTGACTGCCCAGACAGGTACAAGAGGAGTGTTGTTAACGCTTATGTCGACCGTGCTCTCAGCCACAGCTCAGGATGGAAGCAAGTCGATGAAGAACTCTGTAGGGTAAGGCAGGTCCTAGTCAACAACGGCTTCTCCAATGGTTTCGTTGAAGACATCATAAGAAGGAAGGTGAAATGCCATGCAACCTCTGAAGAGACAACGAACACAACACCTCTACCCCCTATTAGACAATTTTACAGGAACTTCTTTTCCACAGTTCATAAAACGGAGAAAAGGGTGCTGAAAGATATTGTTAATAGAAAGGTTATCCCTACAGACAAAAATCAGAAGATACAATTGACGATTTACTATAAAACCAAGAAAACTGCCAACCTACTCATGAGAAACTCTCCAGACACAAAGCAGAACGCTTTGAAAGAGATCAATGTCGTCTATGCCTTCAAATGCCCACTTGGGGACTGTAAGCCTCAAAGAATTCAGTATATAGGCAAGACAACAACATTTCTTTCCAGGCAATTAACGATGCATAAGCAGCAGGGCTCCATTAAGGAACATATAATCTCTTCCCACAACCAGACCATCACCAGAGAAGTCTTAACAAAAAACACAGAAATCATCGATAGATACAGCGATAGCAGGCGGCTTGATATCTGCGAGGCACTACACATTAAGAAGTCAACACCAGCAAACAACAGCCAATTAATGCACAACTATATTCTATCCATTTCAAGACTCCGCACCACATCATATATAGAAGCATCAAGAAATATGGGCCAATAGGCCCTTTGCATTTACTTCCATTCTTCCCTTTAACTTACCCAATATTATACACATTGTTTCGTGTTCTATCTTGTGTTGAAAGTTTGTTTTCACCTCATCCAAAACTGTTGTAACATATCACCTCACCCAAATGCAGGTATATAAAATGAAAAGCCGTTTGAATTATAGCATAGTAAGAAATTTTTTTAGTGTTTGCAGGTTATAGTTGTGTGTGTGTAAACTAAAGTCTTTGAAAATGTATAAAGTTATTACGAAACGCGTTCAAGTGTCGCGTCAGACTAGAAATTTAAATGAATTTTGGAGAACTGATTTTTCAATTACCATCGACAGTGAAAAGATAAGAAATATTGAGAAAATTTGTGTTAGAATTATTAATCTTACTTTTTCGGTCATATTTAATAATATATATATATATTATATATATGTATATACATATATACTTATTTATTTATTTATTTAGAAGGTACATTGTGTTTGAGAGAGTACATAATGTTGGTGTTCTGTAAACATCAGATCATGTTGTTTACAAACTATGACTGGTTGCTACTACAACTGTGAATGCCTAACTTATTTTAACTGGTTATGACTATGACTTGACCATTGCTGCATCTGACTACTTGTGACTGCAACTAGCTCTGACTAGATGCTGCATAACAGATGCAGTGAAATCTATGAAGGGAAAATGTAAGTGGTGACTCAGTGAGGGCAAGCTTGTCACAAGAAACATAATTGTGGCCTTTTCCGATTTAACGGCCAATTAATCGGTAAATAAGGTGCCAGTTAACAATCTAGGTTAACGATGATTATGACGGTATGTGCCGCCTGAAAGATAGGAGTGGTTAGAAGGTTTAATTCGATCTGCAGATAAGTGAGGAAGGCCAAGAAGATGAACAAACATGACGAGTGTACAAGAAAGCGTCGATTATGCGTGAACATCCACACAACAAGGGGTAAATAATAAGGTTAGACGGCCTCAGTTATAAGAGTAAATTAGATTTTTGTTAATGACAACTGTAGAGAAACACTTCACTCATCACCATATGAAGTAGTGGGGTCGTGCTGTGGACATATTGGTGAAGCATTTGTCAAATACCAGCCAGAATATACACAATTTTGTTTCAAGAATCACAAAGCCATTAAACTTTGCATTTTTTAAATTTAAACAATGAATAACACAATGGAACCTGTGATAATGCTTGATATCATCTTTGTTGATGAAAAACTAAAAATTAATCAAGTTTTCTCACCTTGTATCATCAAGCACACCTGATGCAGAACCTTCAAGTGGGAGTCTCCATATTGCTGCCCCAAATTCACCACAGTAATCCTGGGCTGGTAATAAACAAAATTAAGACATTGAGAAAATATAAACTACTGAGTGACTCCTTGGTTGCTCTCCAACCCATGCACCCATATGGTCCACCCAGACCACAAAACATAAGCCAAAACACTGCTGAAGATAGCTCTATGTATTCTATGGAGTGCTCTAGAACAGGCATTGAGTCTACCTCACGGAAATACAGTGGTATGATCGCCCCAAAAGGCGAACATTTTGGGTAACGAATGGTGTGATCGGCGTCAAATAGTACCGTATGGCGAACGCTCGTTTGAGTAATGTCAAGACCATACGGCGGGGTCGCACTGCGTCTTGCACATTTTCGGATGCCTCTGACTTTGCACATAAATTATGTTGTTCTTGTTTAAAGATGCTAATGATGCTGGGATATAAAGGGGTGACTGCTGAGATGTTGCAAAGCATTGAGATTTTTGTAGAAAAAAAGAAATGAAATTTCTGAAATACAACAAATGTTAAAAAGGTTCGTTTGGTGTTCGGCAGGTAGGCTGCTCCATTGTAACAATCTTTCTTTATTTCAAATGTGTTCCATTTGTTTTGTATTTGTCATTTACGTCTCAATAATGGAGAAGCCTACCTTACATACACTCAACAAACCATTACGACATTTTCCTTTCTTCAAATGTGTTCAATATATATTTTTCCTTTGTCTTATAGCAAAAGGTTCATTTGGTGGTCGGCAGGTAGGCTACTCCATGTTTCTCACATAAAAAAAAAAAAATTAAATAATAAAAAAATGAAGAATTTTGAAAACCAGAACAAATGTCAAAAAGGTTCGTTCGGTGGTCTACAGGTCGGCTGCTCCATGTTTCTTAAATAAAAAAAAATAAATAAAAGAACTTTTGAAACAATTTAAAAAAGAGACAAATGACATAAAGGTTCGTTCGGTGTTTGTCGGGTAGGCTGCTCCATTATTGAGACGTAAGTGATAAATACAAAACAAATGGAACACATTTGAAACAAAGAAAGATTGTCATAATGGAGCAGCCTACCCAACAAACACTGAATGAACCTTTTGCTATAACGAATATGAAAGACTATGGCTGCTGGCTGGGTTAGTACTGTGTGAGCAACCATTTGTGGCACACGTGCCTCTGGCTCTCAAACCCCTGTCCGACATGGTGTTAAAAAACTGCGCTCAGTCGGTAAAATTCAGACTCTATTCTTTGAAGAACATAAGGGTCATAACATTGGTGAAGCTAGGCGCAATAAGGGCTTAACACAACGGTCGGATGCCAGTGATACAACACCTATGAGGATGATACAGCGAGCGTATCCAGGTGTAGCTCTGAACCCCACCCTTGCCATCTCCAATTTATATAGATGAATCGTTTTCTGCGTTCAGTGATGATGCATCTGATACAAGTAGCATAGATGAACAATGTTAGCGGCTTCCATGATGGTGTTGTCTATAGATATTTTCAAGAATACCTGAATCTCTTCCTGACTGACGGACACTCTTTAAGGCTAGCTGAATCTCTTCCTGTGTGGGACCTTAAAAAGCAATCTTTTCAAGATTACCTTACAAATTGAGCTTTTCCTATAATCGTTTCAATACTACCTTATGCTTTACAAGCTTGGATACATACCACCTACAAGTACTAAAAACAAGGATGCATGCGAGTGCGTTATTTGCAAGCAAACAGAACGATGAAACAGGAAACAAAAATCTATCTGTAGCTGGTGCAAGGAGAGCAAAGTCGTGCTGTGTACCATGGACTACTTCGTTGACCATTACGCACCTCCAAAGTACTGAGTGTGTAATACAGTGTGTTACTGTGTAAATAGTATGTGAAACTGTACGTATTGTAATATTAGTGAATTTTTACCACGTAATATTGTGACAATAAACATTTATTGTGGACACATTACTGACACATGTATCACAGTTCCATGGAAAATTACGAACATTCTACTGTATACATATTGTAAAGGTCACAAATATGCATCATATACGATAAAATAAACAAATAAAACCACATTGGAAATACATAGAAAAAATATTTGAAAATATATTTGTGGCAACATGCGGTGCTTGAATGGCCCAGGCAACCATGTCTGGGAGCTTCACATATGGGCGACCAGCCCCTGATGACGTCACAGCGCACCTTGTCCACGTCCTCACAGCCAAAGTAAGTGGAATTTGGTAATTATATTTACATAGACATGTTCAAGGAAGGTAATTTATCATTTTACAAAGAAAAATGATGTCTTTGGGAACTTTTGATGTCATGCACACTGGGGGAATTTCACAATAAACACAGTGCATCACAGTGGTTACATGGAGGACACTCGTTTTGTATGACGTCCGTTTCACATGACGAACATGGAACGGATTAAATTCGTTATTCGAGGTACCACTGTATTATCTATCGCACCATGAGTCCCAGGAAAGTCAGTGGTAAGGCTCAACATATGAGATCCCATGTAAAAATGACCATAGAGCAGAAACAAGAGATCATTCGTAAATATGAAGATGGTGTGCGGGTAGGTGAACTGGCTAGGCAGTACAACAAATCTCGGTCAATGATATCCACCATACTGGCTAAGAAAAAGGACATTGAGTGCTAAAGTGGCAAAAGGCGTATCAATAATCACGAAACATAGAACACAAACACTTGAGGATGTTGAACAGTTATTATTAAATTCAGAGCACACGACACTTCTTGAGACATCACTCTCCACCTTCTTAATTATTTCAACTTTCTTCTCAAATGACATCACTGACCTCTTTCTTTTATGTAACCCGCTTGTTGATGCTTTCACTGATGCAATGCGCGCATTTGGAGCCGACATGGTGCACGGATGTTCCTTGATTGTGTTGATATGTAAAATAAAGTCCCGGAATGAACACTCAGTCTCGTGACAAATTCAAACAATGGGAACAATAGGCAGTGATTCTGTGACATCACAGGGTAGCAGGCACTAGAGTTGTGGCGCCCGACACGGTCAGTGGGCAAACTAAACCCTCTCCCATTCACCCACCCACCACAATAGGCCAGCACGACGTTTGGCGGACCGCTTCCTCACCCAAACTTGGTTCGTATAGGGTAACCCCAACCCCGGCCGGCGTGAGGCTTGGCGGACTGCTTCCTACCCGAACTTAGTTCGTGTAGCGTGACTCCCCAACCCCAATCGGGAAACTGGAAGTTTCAGATAACTAAAGTTCGGAAACCAAGTGGTGCTCTGTATATATATGTATCACAATAATATTAGATGATAAATCAACACAATAATATAAATCAATTGTTTCCAGTTAAAGTAATCTACTAAAACAAAACTAGATTAAGCATTAACAGACTTATTAGACATGATGTTCCCTCACTGAGTTACTCCAGCAAACTGAGGTCTCTCCCGACACTCTACCCACAATACCTTGCTTCCGCCTCCATCCAGGAAAGGATGGTAAACAAGTAATTTTACTTCCACAAATGAACATGTGCAATTATTTGGTCCAAACTGACCAAATTAATACAGGTATAATACCTGTGGAAATATAACAAGCTCGCACCATGCTCCATTATGCTGCCAAGCTATACTACACATTTCAAAAGTATACACATATAAAGAATTAATTTCAAATAATTTATTTTCATATTAATTGAAATGTGAGTATCCAACATAGGGATACGTAACAAGCCAAACCCCAAGAACTTAGCAGACGAGTCACCCGAAGCAACCAGCGCCAGGGACCGCATCGAACCCCTTCAGTTCAGGCAATGAACCATCGGGGAGCAGTCCGAATGAATGGAGCCGGATCGTCAATCCGCGGGCGATCCGAACCCTGCGAAGCGCAAACCAAACTGCCCCGAACTCCCGCACCCAGCTGTGGGCCCAATGGAAGAATGCACCCCAATGCCCCTGGCCCGCCTGGTGAGCACTGGTCACATCAAAGGCGGGACCACAGGTGAAGGAGAGACAAAGAAGCGGTTCGAGAGTCCCAAACAAGACCCAGCCAAGTCAGAACCTGGGAGGGGACCAGATGGGACTTCCTCCAGTTCACCAAGAACCCGAACCCGGCGAGCTGGGAAAGAACCAAACTCCCAGCTAGCAGACATGTGGACCGGCTGGGAGCCCAGACCAGCCAGTCGTCAAGGTAGGCCAACGATAGAACACCTACAAGATGCAGACGGGCCACCACGACCCGCCTAAGGCGTGTGAAAACGCGAGGTGCCAGATTCAATCCACGCGGAAAACAACGAAAGCGATAACTCTGACACCCCACAACAAAATTGAGCCAGTCCCTGAACTTCAGATGAATCGGGACGCGCCAATATGCGACCCTGAAGTCCAGGGACACCATCCAAATGTCCGGCTCCAACTGAAGCCGGACCTGGGACAGCATAGTCATTCGAAAGGAGTGGCAATGAACCCAGGGGTTCAGACGAGACAAGTCCAGAATGAACCTCAGGTCCGCACAGTCCCGTTTAGGGGCTGGAAAAAAGCAGGAGATCCACCTGAGGGATGTTGTTGTTTCGACCACACCCAAGCGAACCCTCTCCAAGATGACCTGACAGACCGCAGGGCAACAGTCCTGCCCCGTCAGCCCTGAGACCCCTGAAGGAGGAGGAGCCACCCAACGCCACCACAGACCGTCAAAACGAGACAACCAGAAAAGCCCACAAATCGTTAGACCAGGCGTGAGCGAACAGAGCAAGCCTCCCCTCCATCGTCACATCAATGTGACGAACCACGAAAGGGCTGGCACCCCTTACGAGAATTCGAGCCCCACACAGATCGAACACCGCGACGACCACACGAAGGCAGTTCCGAAGGAGACGCCGGCCCTGAAACTGGTAACAGTGGCTTACCCCGATGAGCAGAACCCCGAGCCCTGGCACGATCCCTCTGGAAAGGCCCTGCCCCGGGGTCCCCGGAGTACCAACAAATCAGACAGGATGACAACTAGCCGAAGCCACTTGTAGATACTGCGCCACAGCAGAATCAGCAAACAGCAAGGGGCAAAAGGGCGAAGACA